TCAGATATCATAAACTTTAAGGTTTAAGACAATACCAATTTATTATCTTGCAGTTTCCATGGGTTGAGAGTCCAGGCACAGGTGCTCTAGGTCTTCTGTCTGGGCTCTCACAAGGCTGGGATGGAAATGTCAGACAGACTAAATTTTTATCTGCTGTTTGGGCTCTTCTTCTAAGCTCACATGCTTATTGACAAAACTCTTTTCCTTACAGTTTTAGAATTCATGTGGTTTGTTTCTCAAGGCTGAAGAACTCTAATCAGGCCCTTTCAACAGGATACATTATTTTGATTAAGCCAAAGTCAAATGGTTAGGACCCTTCATTTAATCTACAAAATCCATTTGCTATATGATGTTATAATCGCATAACCACAGTAGTGATTTCACATCATCTTTATCATATTCTATTGACTAGAGGTAAGTCATGGTTTCTATCATATTCCAGGAGAAGGGATTAAGGAATTATACCAGGACATAACTCATTAGGGCACACCTAATGTTTTGAACCCACAAGGTTCTTAGTTTTCCTTAAAATTCACTTGTCAGTTTCCAGCTGTGCCATGCTTACACTGTCTTCTGTGCTTAGGACTTACTGTGTCTAGCGAGAAGCCTAGTCCTTTCAGCCTGAGTGAGTCTCTCTAGCACCTACATTTTTGTTTGCAAGTGAATTGCATTTGAAATTTTCATTGCTGCATTTTAGAAATGGGTATCTAAATTGCAGACTATTAAGCACCATTTTACCTTCACTTTTTTTAACCCTCAGTCTTTTATTATTCTCTTTTTTTGTCTTGTGCATAGTAAATATCAACATTTGATCATTGACTTCAGTTAGTTTTAAATCCTAATCCCAGCCCCAAAGTATTTTACCCACTAGTTAGAGATATGTGAGTTAGGTAAAAAGGTCATCCATATCACAAGACAAGATAAAACCTCCAGGAAATATCATCCCTATGCCATCCCTTCTGGAATAAGTACAGTCATCCACATTTTACTAGCCAAGGATACAGATACTCACCAGAAATAATTTGTCCAGGACCATAGTTGGTAAGCAACAGACAGAGGGAGTAAAACTGACCAACTCTAGATGCACACCATGATACTTGTTGCCCTATCTTTTCAAGTTCAACTCCAAACTCCTTAGCTTGTTATTCTAGGGACTCCAAACTTGACCCTCCCTCATATTTCTGCTCCCCTAAATGAATTCATCTCTCTTGCCTTGTGACCAGTTGTGCTCTTTTTGGCTTTTGTGAGCCATCTCTGTCTCTCTCTTTCCTATCTCCCTGAGCATTCCCCCTCAATCTCTACATCCCCTTGGCTAGCTTCTTCCCTCTCTGCTCCTCCATTCTGTGAGTTTTCCTCAGGGTCTTCACCTCTCTTTATTTGTACCCTACGTACTCTCCCTAGGCAATGTCAACCTTACCATGACTTCAAATGACTCCTGTTTGCCAGTGACCCCCATATCTTTATAGCCAGCCCCCAGTTATCTCCAGAACCTCATACAAGATTTTTTCCATCAAGTATTTATCTTTTTTTATAGATCCCACTTTTAAATATTTTATTCCTATTCCTTTTTTATAGCATTTTAATTTTATTTTATACATTCCATCACTATACATCACTTAACTTGTTAAGTGAGTTTAACCAACATGAATATACTTCACACCACTCTAGTTGAGGATACTATACACGTTACCATATACAGATAATAATTGACTTGACCTTCTATGGATAATTTGCAATCCTTTACTGACTTGAATTACTGCCTCTCAGTTTTCTACCCTCCAATCTCTCTACCTTCCCTCCTATGCTGCCCCATATTCTTTTAAGTCACAGGCTGGTTTTCACATGTTCCCTTTCTTAGCATCCTTCAGCATTTACAAGATAAAGTTCAAACCTTGTTCAGCCTCAGACTTCCTTATGCCTTAATTCTGTGGACAGCTCTACAGTTAGGGTTCAGCATTGAAGTGAAAGGCATAGGCAGTGAGTAGGGGATGGCAGCCTTCCCCACTCTTCTTGCATGGGAAGATTTAGCCTGAGAAAGGGGTGCTTTTTCTACTCAGAGGAAAAATGTTGTGTCTGTTTTGTGCTATTATAACAGAATACCCGAAACTGGCAATTTATAATGAACAGATATTTACTGGCTCATGGTTCAGGAGGCTAGGAAGTCATTGTCTATGTACTGGCATCTGCTGAGTGTCTTCTTGCTGCATCATAACATGAAGGAAGGTGTCACATGGTGCAAGGGCAAAAAGAGGATAAGAGAAAGGGGGAAAACCCCTCTCAATATACAACCTCCCATATGAAACAGAATTAGTCTATTTTTAAGTTTGAAGGCCTCATGACTGAAATAATTCTTAATGGTCTCACTTCCTAATACCATCACAATGGCAATGAAAATTTCTACATAATATTAGGAGGGAACAATCAATCAATCCATAGCATTATGTTTCTGGAAGCTCTTGACTATCTTTTGACCCTTATTACCACTTTCCCTTACCATATAACCCACCTTCTAGGTATTCCAGATTATTTGCCATTTTTCCTCCAAATTGTATTTTCTTTCATTTCTCTCAACCTTTGTCACCACTGTCCCTGGGATTCCCTTGATCCTAAACTGTGTCTTGATCAGTGGTTCCCAGTTCACATCCATGGTCTTACTGCCTCAGAGTTATCAATTAAGAAAAATATATATATAAAATACAAAGTTATACATATATATATATATATATAATACCATTGGAGGATGGAAAATATTAAGTGTATAAGTGAAAAAAATGGCTGTGAGTTGATTGCTGAAGCTAGATGATGATGGGTACAAGGAGGTTCACTTCTCTACTTTTGTGTATGTTTTATCATAATAATGATGGCAATGGTGATAATAGAATGCAGGTTTCCAGGGTAATACTCTTGAGAGTTTTCGACTCAGTAAATCTGGTATTTGGTTTAGGAATTTCTTTTTTTCTAAGTGTTCTCTGGGTGATTTGGGGACCACAACTCTAGAGAAAGTCCATTCTGTGTCAGGACTGTGTCAAGTACCTCAGTTCTTTGAAGCCTTCCCTGACCACCCAGCCTGTAGGGGGATCATGTCTCCCCTCAGCAATATGACATTTCTGTACCATGTATTTGGCAGTTCCCTTTGTTAACCTTGTAGTTTTATTTATAATATCCATTCCATAATTCCAAACTCCATATGAGCATGCCTATCTAGTTGGCCTAAGCCAATACCCTACTCATAGTAAATGTTCAATAAATATTTGTTCTTCTAATATCTATTTCTCCAGAGCTTTCCAGTTTGTTAGGATGCTACTCCATAGGTGTATACTTCTTATAAGTCTTTGAAGCATTTACAACACACAACACATGTTTTTTCCTTGACCTAAAAGGCAGACCATTCTTTATTCTCTCTCATTACACAAATTTGAGAACCATTTGGTCTATATTTCCCATGTTGCTTTTATTTCAAACAAAAGAGCTCAATGGGGTAGTCAGTCTGAGGTTGACAGGCTGTCTGTGTCCTTGTCTATTGGCTTCTGGCTGTTCTGCAGCCAGGAGGA